GGCACGGAATTTATTTACGACCGGCTCCCATAACTTCTTGTTCCCAGATTTACCATCCACGGGCAATCCCAAATAAAGGAAAGGTGCTCGACCAACCCCACAGCGTAACATTCCCGCTGATCCTTTTATCCATTTCTCCGACACATTGTACCCAAAGACACTGCTCTTTCTAAAATTAATCCTCAAGCCCGACATAAGCTCAAACCATTTTAAGACGTCCTTCACCATACGTATGTTCTCAGCATCCGCTCTACCCATAATAATTGTATCGTCCGCAAACTGGAGTAGAGACACGGTCATCCCTTGCTTTCCAATCTCAATCCCATGTAACATTCCCTCCGTTACCGCTCTCTGTACTAAACCTTGTAGCCCCTCTGCAATCAACAAAAAGAGAAAAGGAGATAAAGGGTCGCCTTGTCGCAATCCTTTACCTACCTCAAATTCCCTTGTCGGACTCCCATTTACTAGAACCGAAATTCTCGCGGTTGAAAGACATTCCGTAATCCAACCTCTCCATTTCGATCCAAAGCCGCATCTCTCCATCATCCAATCCAAGAAGGACCAATCTACGCAATCGTATGCCTTTTCAAAATCTGCCTTAAACACAAAAGCTGGCTTTTTCCTCTTCTTAACCTCATCCACTACTTCATTCAACACCAAAACACTATCCACCAGCTGGCGCCCCCCCACAAAAGCAGATTGGGTGTCACTCACTAATTCTGATATCACAGACTTCAATCTATTAGCCAGCACCTTCGCTAATAATTTATAGACACAACCAATCAAGCTAATGGGTCTAAAATCCTTTAGTTCAACAGCATTCAATTTCTTGGGAATCAAAGCTATAAAAGAAGAGTTCAGACCTCTCACCAATTTACCATTCTGATGGAATTCAGAGAAAAAATTGATGAAGTCCTCCTTTATGCAGTGCCACGCAAATTTGAGAAAGTTGAAGTTAAACCCATCTGGCCCCGGTGCCTTTGAACCATCACAGCTCCTCAAGCCTTCCTCAATTTCTTCAACCGAAAATGGTCTTTCAAGCCATTCTTTTTTCTCCTCCGAGATTTGCTGAAATTTAAGATCCCTAGGCTTGGGTCTATTCCATGAGTCTCCTTGAAAACACTTTCTAAAGTATTTGGCAATCTCATTTTTAACTGCATCTGGCTCTTCACACCACACCCCCTCACTCATTAGGCCTGCTATGTTATTGTGTGCCCTTCTCCCGATAGCAACTCTATGGAAGAAACGGGTATTCGCATCACCCTCACGCACCCATTTATTCCTCGCCTTCTGCTTCCAGATAAGTTCCCTCTTTCTTATACAGTCCCACATCTCAGAGAAGCCTTCTTGCCTTTTAACTATCTCAGCTTCTTCTAAATCTGATACCTCATTCTGCATGTCAATCTGCTCTACCTTTTTCACGGCCTGCCCATACAAAGCTTCCATGTTCCCAAATACTTCCTTGTTCCATCCCTTTAAAAACTCCTTTAACAACTTTAACTTTTGCTGGCATTTATACCCTGCATACCCCTCCACCTCCATCTCGCTCCATTTTTCTTCAACAACCTTTTTAAATTCTGGGTGTTGTTGCCATGCATCCAGAACCCGAAAAGGCCTTGGACCCCAATCTGTTGTTCTGGACTTCAACATAACAGCACAGTGATCAGAGATATTTCTTGGCAATGCTTGTTGTATCCACTCTCCTTCCATGTTACTCATCTCAGCACTTAACAGGAACCTGTCCAATCTGCTTCTTGCTGTACCATTTGGTTTGTACCAAGTATACCTTCTATTTGTCAATTTAACATCCACCAAATCTGTTGCCACAATGAACTCATCAAATTCCTTCATACCCGGACTCTCCCTTAATTTTCCTCGTCTCTCCTCAGGGCCTCTAACAGCATTAAAGTCTCCAGCTATTAACCAATATCCTTCCTTGTCTGTTTTCAGCTTCCTTAGATCCTCCCACAACTTAGCCCTCTTTTGTCTATCATTAGGGCCATACACATTTATAAGAAAGCACTGTTGTTTACTTACTCCCCATTCCCCTGATAATCCCACAAAACCGTCACCCGTTAACTCTTCCCTCTTAACAAAGCGCCTCCTATCCCATATACACAGCAAACCCCCTGAAGCTCCAGAAGAGTCCTTCGCAACCCAGTCAAACTCATCAGAATTCCACAACTGGCTACAAGTACCTACATCCATTTTTTCTAATTTTGTTTCCTGCAAGAACAAAAAATCGGGTCTCTCTTCTTTAACCATCTTTTTCACCTCTTTCCTTTTCAATGTCCCACCCAAACCCCTTACATTAAAAGTTATAATCTTCATAATCACTTCTAATCACACACCGCCTCTAATCGCCTCCAGCCTTACCTCCCCGACACGTCCCTTCTTTCTTCTGCTTCACGATCGTCTACCTCCAATAATTTAGATTGTATCTCCTCCTCATTATTATCAAATTGGAAACCCAACCTCTTCCCCACCCTCATCATCCGACGCACGTCAAGTAGATTCATCTCTCTCTGCAACACCTTATTTCTATTTACAATGCACTCATCCGAAATAGACATAGTACCAGCGATGCATACCTTGTCATCCCCAGTTTGTCTAGCGCCCCCTCTCCTTGACTGCCTCTGCTTTGTTCTGGGTGTCACCCACGGTGTCCCTTTTGCCCAGATCTCCTCCATGATTTCTGGGTAGCATTCTTGAAGAGCCCTCTGTTTTTTACCCTCTGTTTTTTTCCCCAATTTCTGCGATGCCGGTGAAGCCGCTGTTCCTTTATTACTTAAACCCATGCTCATTTCCTTTGGCTGCCCTTGGTCCATTCTTTTAGCAGGCCCGCTATCATTTTCTGGCCCATCAAAACTCAGCCTTTGAGGCCCGTTATTCTGAGTAAGCCCGTGCCCTTCATTCCCCTCCAAAACCATCCCTGTTTCAATTTGTCTACAGCTCTCATTCTTTGCTAACGGCTTCAAATTTGAATTTAAATCCAAATCCTTCATTAATTGCTCTGAATCAGCACTCATATCCTCGCCGCCGCAAATCCCGTCCGTATCCAACTCAGGATCCTCATTCTGACTCCACACTACTGAGTATTCAGACTCCGTTTCCATGTCACTTTTCCGGTCATTCTCCGACAACCACCAATCCGGATCAGAGCGCCACTCCTCTTCGACTATCTCTATCACATACACCTGCTCTCCCACTCTCAGCCTAGTTCGTTTTGATATCTTGCTAGAATCTGAGCATAAAATCAAAACTCTCCCATCCCATAAGATTGATTTCTTCTTTGTATCCTCATGAATCATTAATACTTCTCCTATTGTCTCACCTATTATTCGGAAGCACCTCTCACTCCATGCCTTTAGAGGCACTCTCGCTATTCGCAACCACACCATTCTACTTTTCTCCTCTGTTGCCTTCTCCCACGGTTTTAACGACTCAAACCACAATCCAAACAACTCCTCATTGAGCTTCATATACTCAGCTAGGTACCCTTTGACTCTTTCGGTTAATAACATACGTTTTCCCCTGATTGGTGCTAATGAGATTGAGCCTCCATCGACATCCAAGTGCTCCTGAATCTCTGATACCGAAGCCATTGATCTCACCTCTGCCACCATGCTACCCTCAAGCCATTGCATCTCCTCGCCTGTTGGGGTAATTTCGATAGTCTCCTCTCCTTTTTCCACTCCCTTATTCTCTTGGGCCCTTGTTGAAACACTTTCCTTATCCAGAGTTGCTTCTTCATCCCTTTCCTGCAGATTAACTGGTACCTTTTCTGTCCTCTTTCCCTGTCCCTTCACTGCTTGTGCATATGAGTGCCCTGGTTGGATCAGTCTATTCATGTTAATCGTTGATCCGCTATCCTTTACTTCACCTTGTAACTTCCTGGGCATTGATGATTTCCTTTGCCGATCATTTGCGATCTTCACTCTGATCTTGTATGAGCCAATCCAGATCCCGTTTAGCTTCCTTTCCATCTGCATCTCATTATTGACCCCTGTCAACCTCACAAACCCAAACCTCTTCCCTCGCTTGTCTCGTTTTCTCGGAAGATACACATCAACAACCTTACCATACATCTGAAAACAGTTCCATAAAAATTTTGCCTCCAATTCCTCTGGGAAATTATAAAAGAAGAAAGTCGTTGACCAGCCGGAAAACTGTTTACTGTAACCTGCCTCGCTGATTCTGTGCCCTTGTCTCTGTCCGTAGCCTTGCCGCTGTCTGTAGCCTTGCCGCTGTCTGTGGCCACCGTCTTTCCCAGCTGCCGCTCCCCTTGCTGTAACCCGCGTACTCTCCATTTCAAATACAATATTAATAATTTTGTTTGGTCACAACACTTCAAAAAACATCAATTGCGACGCCAAGACCTTCTCCAACATAAACCTTCATAACAGAGGACGTTATAGAAACTA